CAGATCTTTTCTTTCCCAGAAACTGTACTCGCTAGTCCTCGTAACTTTTCGTTAAGTATCGGTATATTTTTATTTTATATAAGTCAGAGAACTCTGTTAAGTTTTTCTGTAGTCCCCGTAACTTTTCGTTAATTCGGTATATTTTCATTTTATATAAGTCAGAGAACTCTGATATGTTTCTCTGAAGTCCTCGTAATATTTCGTTAAGTATCGCCATATTTTTATTTTATATAAGTCAGAGAACTCTGTTATGTTTCTCTCAAGTCCCCGAACTGTCTCGTTAAGAGTTGATATATTTGGATATATTTACGTTTTATGTTAACACTGCTTACTTGTTAGTTCCTAGAACGTCTCTTAACGTGTCGATCCGATTTTATTGTTGGAAGGTAGCTAGGGTATACAGCTATATCTACATTTCGTTTGTGCGATGCCCTTATCAATACTTCTAATTTACTGTCAAACCTAGTTTCGTCGTAAAAGGCTATACCACTGAAAATTTGGCCTCTATGCTTGGCGTATGAGTATGAATATCAGGAATTGTCAAATGTAAACAAATGAGTGTGCACATCGAAAATGTCAATAAGTTATGGACCTTTTCGATGTGCACACTCATTAATAAAACAGACTTTACCAGCTAAATGCAATTTGTTCTTTTTTTTACTTAAAACTGATTTTATTTTGCATAAAAATAATGACTTTATAAATGAAATAGCGTTGATTCATATTTTCAAATTTGTGTAGAAAACAGCGTGTGACGTATGTGATATATGCAGATAAACGTACATGGTTTGCTAGATTATGTTAAATTGCCGTCTTTAATGCTAACGACATACCCGCATTGTTATTACCTTGCGGTGTGTTTTCTTCTGAGAGTCGTTCTAGCTATTGACCAGGTTAACGGGGGGAAAAGGCAGTAAGTGAATTTGAATTTCTTGAATTTGTCTTTTTATTCAAACGAAAATTTAAACAACAAACGACCTACTGGTGTAACTGCCAAATCATGTGTCAAAGACTATCTGAACGTTAAATGTGCATTGCAGGTCGACGGATGTCTGTAAAAACGTTGGCCTGATATGCGTGTGTGCTGGTCGTGCAGGTTCAGCTTTCGTCTCCCAACACTGTATGCTATTTTAAGAAATACATCTCGAGGAGAGGAATTAATATAAGCTTATAGCTTGTTTTCCGATCCTCGTTGTATCTGTACTGTATTGTAATGTAGTGTGCAAGTGATGAAATAAAATATTGTTTAAACTAAGAAATATGTAAGTTTTATTAGCCTAACGGAAGGTGTATTTATGGTTGCGTAGGTTGTATTTACATGATTATTGTTTATTGACAATTATAATTACATAGTTACTTCCCTTTATAGTCGAGGCATTTCAGAGTTACTACCCTTGGATGGAAACTCGCCATTTGTAATACAAATGGAGTCATTTGAGGGAACACTAGCATTAGCCTGTTTAAGGCATATTATTTGTAAGTAATCATTGATACTCAGTTATTATGTTACTACATTGACTACATTTACTTATTGTTCATTAATGTACTGTGTCAATTATTCTTTTGTCTCGTTTCCAATGTTAATTATGTTTATCATCGGAACAACACATCGTTTGGTAAATATCTGAGTATTTCTCATTTAGGTACTTAATAAAGACGTACAAAAAGACCACGTTCTTATATGAACACAGTATCACAATGCCAGTCGCAAACTGCCCAATACCAGGATGCGAATACGTGACAGGTGACCTTGAGGCAGCGATTGTAGCTGCACTGATAACGGCTCATTCCATCGTTCACGCCCCAGGCCCATCCGCCAAAATTTAGAGAGTCAGACGGCCAACCATCGCGTAAGCTGGTACCAGTGAGGACTGGGCTTATATTTTGTCGCGTTGTAATGATTATGTCGCCGCTACTAAACTGGAAGGTCGCACCAAAGTGATTCAGTTATTAGAATGTTGTGATGAACCTCTCAGAAAGGACTTAACACTTACAAACGGTAACACCCTAACGGAACTAACTGCAGATCAGGTGCTCACAGTCATCAAAACACTGGCCGTTCGCGAAGAGAATACAATGGTGGCCAGGGTAATCCTACATAACATGAAACAGGATCGTGATGAGACCGTGAGAAGTTTTGGTGCGCGTAAACGAGGTCAAGCAGGTGTTTGCAAGTTTAATGTAAAATGTGCCAACTGTAATACAGACGTCAATTATACTGACGCCACCCTTCGCGATGTACTTACAAAAGGACTCGCTGATCCAGAAATTCAACTTGACCTCCTGGGTGACAGTAACCAGGAATCTGGAGGATGTGTTTAAGTTCGTGGAAGCAAAGGAGGCGGGAAAGCGCTCAGCTTCGAGACTTTTGGACTCCAATGCAGTGGCAGCTGCAAGCAGCTCGTATCGAAAGGCCAAAAATGAAAATCAAACCACACCAAAGGACAAAACCGAAACTTGCACATATTGTGGTACCAGAGGTCATGGAAAAGGCGCCCCATCTAGTGTTCGACGAAATGAGTACGTACCCAGCATACGGACACATATGCAACTTTTGTAATCGCAATCATCATCTTGAAAGTGTTTGTCGTAGTAAAAATAAGCCTAAACTCACCAGCAACAGTAACAAACTCTCAAAGAGTTCAGCTGTATTTCAGCTGATGTTCTATGTACTGTCAATGATACTATTATTAATGCCTTTGATGATTCTTGCACGTTCAGTGATTCTGGTGTTGAGCGTGCATTACGCATTGACCACCATGTTTATGATAAACTCACAGACACATGGGTTAAGAAACGATCAGCCTCTCAACCGTTTGTTAATGTTGTTGCAAAAGTTTCTCATGATGATTACTCTGCCCATGGTTTTGATTTGAAAAACAATGCTCTATTCCAGCTACTGTACCTGCCATGGCAGATACAGGATGTCAGAGCTGCCTTGCTGGTTTGAGAGTCATCTATAGGTTAGGCCTACGTGAATCAGACCTCATTACGGTGTCCATGCCCATGCATACAGCCACAAATGTTGGAATCAAGATCATCTGTGCTACAATACTCCGCTTGAGCGCCACTAACGATACAGGCAAACCAATAGAGACTAGACAGATGACTTACATATGTGATACCACTGACAGGTTGTTCCTCAGCAGAGAAGCCTGCTCAGCACTAGGTATTAATCCCGATGCCTTCCTCGCGGTTGGTGCATACGCAGCTTATTCTATCACTGTGAACCCCCACCCCTCACCAGTGGAATCGCATCCATGTGACTGTCCAAAACATCAAATGCCCCCTCCCCCCACAAGAATGCCATTCCCTCGGACGGCCGATAGTTTATAGCGTTTAAAAACCTTCCTCTTAGACCACTACAGTGTTAGTACCTTCAACACATGCCAGCATCAACCACTGCCTTTGATGGAACCCCCCCCCCCCCAGATGAAAGTCATTGTATACAACACTGCGGAACCCATTGCCCAACATGCACCCTATACACCTATACCTGTCCCTATTCACTGGCGCGAGTCTGTCAAGGCTGGATTAGACCAAGATGTCCGTTTAGGCGTTATTGAGTCGGTCCCAATCGGTGAACCTGTGACATGGTGTCACAGGATGGTCATATGCGCGAAGAAAAATGGCGAGCCTCGCAGGACAGTTGACTTCCAGGCCTCAATGCTCACGCGAACACGTAAAAGTCATCATACTCAATCACCATTCTACCACGCCCGTTCCGTCCCACATGGCAAAAAGAAAACAGTGTATGCTTGGAACGGTTACCACAGCGTACCCATACGCGAGGAAGACCGTCACCTGACAACCTTTATCACCCCATGGGGACGATACAGATATAAGACAGCACCCCAGGGGTACATTGCATCCGGTGACGGATACACACGAAGGTACAATGAACTTGTCTCCGACTTCGCCAACAAGACTAAATGCGTAGATGATGTGTTGTTATGGTCCGATTCCATAGAGGAAAGTTTCTTTCAGGCAGTTCTTTGGTTAGACTTTTGTGGCAAGAACGGCATTACCCTAAACCCCAAAAAGTTTGTCTTTGCTGAGGACACAGTTGAATTCGCAGGTTTTGAGTTAACACAAGACAACGTCCGTCCATGCAAGAAGTTCCTTTGAGCAATCCTCGACTTCCCAACGCCGAAGAATATAACGGACATACGTTCGTGGTTTGGGCTTGTCAACCAAGTTGCGTTCGCATTCAGCATGGCCGACAAGATCATGCCATTCCGACAACGGTTAAAGTCAAATGTACCATTTCGCTGGACAGAAGAATTACAAGACTTGTTTGAAGAATCTAAACGCGTCATTGCCGGTGAAATCGAACAGGGTGTTCGAATATTCGATCCTAACAAACCAACGTGTTTGGCAACAGACTGGTCGAAATATGGAATTGGCTTCTTTCTGCTTCAGAAACACTGTTCCTGTCCCATTTCTAAACCATTCTGCTGCAATGATGTTTGGAAGATTACCCTTGTCGGAGGCCGTTTTACTCATAGCTCAGAGTCAAGATATGCCCCAATCGAAGGTGAGGCCCTAGCTGTGGCAGACGCCTTAGATAAGACAATGTATTTTGTCTTAGGCTGCAATCAATTGATCGTTACTGTTGTCCACAAGCCGTTACTTAAGGTCCTCGGTGATAGATCTATCGAGAACATCTCCAACCCACGTCTACGAAACCTGAAAGAAAGACACTGCGCTATAAGTTTCGGATTGTCCATATCCTTGGTGTCAAACATAGGGCAACTGACTGTTTATCTCGACACCCAACTGGCCAACCGGAAAAGATGGACCTCACATATGATATAGCTTCAGTACAGTCTCTGTTGCCCGTCATCACTCATAACCCTTCGCTGATGTATGGACTCCGTACCTCTGACACAGTTTCGCTGATAGACGATACTGTTGTGATTGCAGCAGTTTCTTCCTTAAATGCCATCCAGTCAGTTACGTAGGATCGCGTTCGCGTTGCCACTTCAAGTGACCCAGACATGCAAACCCTACTGGGTATTATCGAGTCTGGTGTGCCGGACAACCGCCAGGGGATCCCAGAAACACTGCGAGAGTTTTTCCCTTTTCGAGATCACTTGCACACAGCGGACGGAGTGATTCTATACAAAGATCGAGTGGTCATTCCACCATCTCTTACACATGAGGTTCTTGACTCGTTGCATTCCGCGCACCAAGGTGTTACAGCGATGACGGCTAGAGCAGAATCCTCAGTCTTCTGGCCAGGAATTACACCAGCCATCAGCAATCTACGTGCAACCTGTCAGCATTGCAACCGTATAGCTCCTTCCAACCCTAGCGCACCACCAACGCCATTGACAGACCCAGATTACCCATTCCAGTGTGTGTGTGCCGATTACTTTCACTATAAGGGCTGTAACTACTTATTGGTGGTCGATAGATACTCCAACTGGCCAATAGTTGAGCAAGAACATTGCGGAGCTGATGGTTTGATAGAATGCCTTCGTCGTACGTTCGTCACTTTTGGCATCCCTGATGAATTGGCCTCTGATGCGGGACCTGAATTTACATCTACTGCCACCCGGAAGTTTCAAAAGAATTGGGGTGTCCACCATCGTCTCTCATCAGTGGCTTTTCCTCATAGCAACTGTCGTGCAGAGGTTGGGGTTAAAACTGTGAAACGCCTCTTAATGGACAATACAAAAGCAGATGGGGGTCTTTCCAAAGGGCCATACTTCAATACAGAAACACACCAGATAGAGACACTAAACACTCTCCATCGTTGTGCGTTTTTGGTTGCCCTATTCGTGATTTTATCCCCATCCCACCTGGCCTATATCAACCCCATGCTACTTGGCACGACACCTTAGCTTTACGAGAAGACGCACTAGGGAGGCGCAACATGAAAGAAAAAGAGCGATTATTACAACATACGAAACTACCACCATTGGTTACGGGAGACCATATCTGTATCCAGAATCAAATAGGCCAACATCCCCTGAAATGGGATAAAACTGGAACAGTTATTGAAGTCCGCCAGTTCGATCAATACGTGGTTCGCATCGATGGATCAGGACGAGTCACACTCCGTAACAGAAAATGTTTGCGACGCTTTGTCCCAGTTTATCCTACACCGTCGAAACTGACGATTGATAGAGACTTAGCACTATGTCGACAATACCCACCACAGCCCATAACCGGACGACGGATCAGCAAATAAATCCTTCATTGCATCCTGGTTATGAGTACATTCAAGGGAAGACAACAAGCTCAACATCGCTGCCTGCGACGGCAGATACATCGCAATGGAAGTCGTCAAATCTTATGACGACCGTCCCTCGTACCCACAGAGTCAATAGACCTCAACATACAGATCCACACAGAACAACTGCTACCACAGTCAGTGAGCCGGTGGAGCCAACTAACAACGCATCAGTCCCTCTCGTGCCTCCACTCACACTTACCACACAACGAGATAACCCATCACCAAGCCATTCCGTGCAGACTACACCACTGCGCAAGTCGAGTCGCGCAACAAAAAAGCCTGCGTGGCATAGTGACTTTGATATGTAGATGTCTTATCACGACACACGTCTTATGAATCTGATAAAACCGCGGTTCGTTTCGGACTTCGTAATTATTTTCTGACTTCGTCATTATTTCTGTGTTTGCATTGTTTTACTTAAGTGTTCTGTCTAGTCAAGGCTCTAGTCATTGTAATTTAAAACATATGATACAATTCCTTTTTACAACAGCCTTTGTTTCATTATATTACAAAAGACTCGAAGAGGGATACCTGATTATTGTTTATTGACAATAATAATTACATAGTTACTTCCCTTTATAGTCGAGGCATTTCAGAGTTACTCCTCTTGGATGGAAACTCGCCATTTGTAATACAAATGGAGCCATTTGAGGAAACACTTACATTAGCCTGTTTAAGGCATATTATTTGTAAGTAATAATTTATACTCAATTAATATGTTACTACATTGACTACATTTACTTATTGTTCATTAATGTACTGTGTCAATTATTCTTTTGTCTTGTTTCCAATGTTAATTATGTTTATCATCGGAACATCACATCGTTTGGTAAATATCTGAGTATTTCTCATTTATGTATTTTCAGACTGTGTTCATTGTTGATCTTAATAAAGACGTACAAAAAGACCACGTTCTTATAGTATTGGACATTTATACATGATATATGTGTTTTTAGTTGCCAAACATTAATGTACTAAAAGTTTATATATTTGTGTTCGGTGTGAGTGACCGAATAATTTGTTACGGCTATATTTGGACCTAAACTAAGGTGTTCAGAGTAGTTTTACATGTTTTAGGGGGTTTATATCGACTTTCGTTAAAAATGACATCCCCGATGATCATATATACGAGAAGGGCGGTAAGCTCTCGATGTCGAAAAGTCGACCCCACCTTACTTTCGTGCATCAAAAACAACATTTCTAGTTGATCTACGTGAAAATGCTTAGTACCGTTGGAAAGATGGATAATTTTCCTTTTAAAAACCTTCTACATGCACGTAAAATGTATTCTCATTCCGCGGACATGATCTCGGTTTCCTTCTGAGTTGGAAAGGTTTTCGCAGTCATCGTGCCGCTTTTTTGTATATTAATGAGGTTGACCTCGACCTTGTGCCGAGACCCGTGGTATGATTGGCTGGAAGCGCAGCCATTTTTTCGCTAAACCAACCATTACTGCATGTTTCGGAAAGAGGCTGAAAAAGATAAAGGATAAGAAAGAACATATATAATAACATGCAGCTTGTCGATGAAGAAAGGCAAACAAAGTAAACAATTAAGTGTGGAAATAGCCTTATATTTTCCGGATAGTTTTTCCTAGTTTTCCTCCTAATTGTGTGAAATTTCACGTAACTAATTACCATACACACTTACATGCTCTAAATGGTTTTTCAATTTGGCTATTTTTATGGTAGTAATTCTATTTTGAAAACAAAAACATTAACAAAATATTGACTGCAAAAATCCTACTACCGTTTTAATAAAAAAAAAAACAACAGAGATACAATATTTGGATCCGTTCATTTTTTTCATGGAAATTATGCCCCTTTTCTGATTTCCCTTTAAAACTTTGTCCGAAATACTGCTTCATAGCTTCTTGATCGATATTCATGAAACTTGGTACACATGGTTGGTACTTTGGGCAGTTGTGCAGTCGCATTAAAAAAATTCAAATATCTGATGATGTTGTTTTTCTTCCCTTTTTATATGGGACAGATTGTATAAGTGACCAAGTGACCTACTTTTTTGTATTAATTTTAGAAGCCTAAATTCGCGTTACGTCAGGGTAGACTGCTGCTCCCCGTAATGTCACTTCAAGTGTATATGATTTTTTTATTAGTTGAAGATTAGGGTACAATGCTGTTCCTTGCGGGCCCCCGTACAGCCCGTATACTTAGCGTGTACGCAATACTGATGAGCTTTTCTCAATATATATCCATCAATCTGTACCTGTATTACATTGTAGCCAGACCAGGTAGTAATCAGTGTAATTATTGAATTAAACCCCGTGGATGTGATACCAGAGGCGCATGTAAGACCTGGGCTATTTAATTATAGAGGCTCGGTAGGGCGATCGAGGTGCTGTATTATCTATATGGAGTGTGGGACATTTTGCCATTACTTTGGCGCGGAATATATTTTTAGAGATATCAGCGTGACATTGGTAGAGTGGTCTTTTGGGACCGACCTATCTCTGAACGACGTCGACATCAGGTCCACATTAGAAATCGCTCATGATATAACGCAAACGTATCGCTCCACGCCATTGTCCGATCGGCGCAATGTATGTCCAACTCTTTTAAGACAAACGACAATCGCATTATAAACAAAGATCGGAGGTCTGTTTTTATCGTTTTGAGTATCAGCTCTTATCCATTTATTTTTGTAATACGAAAGTGGAGCCCCATGTCTTTATAAATGTCAGAATGTCGCTTGCAAACGTAGCAATCTTACTCTACAGCTAATAGTTACCGTCATGTATACGTTATATGCTCGCGATAAAACGTTCGTCTGACCCTTACCATCAGCGTAATGGGGACGCTTACACGGACTTGATGACAAATACAAATGCTATGTTGTTTTTTTTAAATCAGCAATCTCATTCCGAGAATGTTTAGGGAAGTGTGTCGTTTTCCGTATTGTTGAGGGCGTCCCCATGGAGTCTATTGTCACCGCAATGTCTTTCCAACATCTATCATTGCTTGCTAAAGGCGTAGCCATGCAGTAAGTTTGATAACGGAGCAAACAATCAAATGGAGAGAGAAAAAATACTCTGTTGAAATCAAGACCGACTGTTTCACACTTTCAAGTGTGAACAGACGTTCCAAAAACAAATTGAAGTTTTGTGATTTGAGTCAACGATTGTCCTCGGTCCTCCGGTGCTGTGAATTTGTCCCAATATCAGCATTTTAGCTATATTAGACCGAAATTGGTGACGAGAACAATCAAATCGCCCCACCTACATAGCCACTTCTCTTGAAACCCCCGTCACAACCCCATACAGTGCCGACTCTAGGAATTATTGGATATTTGTTAAACCCGACCCCAGGGTCGCGTCTCTCGTAGTCTGCTTTCGGTCAGAGCATACTTCAATTGAACAGATGCCATATCTTGCCAAATTCAATTTCAAAATATTTTCAATCATGTGTACGAAGTATTGAATTAACGTTCGTTTGCTACCGAATACGTTTAGATGTATGTACACATGGCGCTGAATAAACCAATCTCTGTTTGTCCTGCTGTTCAGGCGTAAACTACAATACTGTAATAATGGGCGTATAATAATGGACCGGTGGTCAGTGGTCAATATGCGGTCATCATTGGTCAAACAAGGTTGATCAACCCTTTAGAACCTGACGTTATATGTTAGGTGATCAGCGGTGTGTCACGCGCATCAGACGTCATCCATCACCGGCGGCTGTCGTCACTAGAAACATACGTCACACTAATTTGATGAGATTCTCACCTAATCACCTTGGCTGTAGGAACATTGCATACCAGGACCGCACTCATCCTCGTCTTTCTTGGTCTAACGACTCTTAGAAACCTACGCCACGCTATTATCATTTCTCATCCTTAAGGATTCCCGTACCGAGATAAAACTGTAACTATGAGCTGGAAAACATTTTACCGAATAGCTTTACTAAATCAATTCTAAAAATACCTTCCATATATTGCGGAACTTAAATGAAAAGATAATGAAATTAAAAAAAAATTACAACAGTGATCTAAGTATAAAACTTTAACGGAGATTCGAACCATGGACCTCCGCTCATAATACGGCCTCCCTGCTCGATTGAGCTACCTCATCAGAGGCATTTCTTTTGCAAAGTCCCGCTACAGTTATCTCCGGAACGAAATTAAGGGGATGCTACCGTATGTATGAAAAACGTTAATGGAAATATTTCGTGTTTTGCTTGCAGAGGGACAGGTAGCCTTAACCACAGACGTTTGGGCTACATTCCTTCTCCTGTTATCCAGTACCTGAAGGTGGAAAAGTCACCGCCTGTTAATTTCATTCACAAAAAATTGACTGTAATATTTTTATGACATATGGCGATTCATGATAGCGTGAAATTATCGTTACAAGATCGTGAGTATCACGGACAATGGTCGGAGAGCGCACGTGCTCAGAACGTGAGTCTTGACATGTATAAACCCTCGGGAGGCCGTTTGGAGACTTTCAGAAATTATTTATAAAGCATGTTTTAGAGATTGCCATTGTTGACAACGAATGCCTCCTAATTTGACGCATCGCCGCCATTATCTTTACCCACTAAGACAGGTTACGAAGCTGTCTCTGTTCCCTCGACTTGCGGTATGCACAAA